GCCGAGGGGGCAGGAAGCGCCGCCCCCGGCGCTGCCGTCGCGGGACGAGTCGGGGCAGCTTCCCGGGTGCTGCCGGATGCCGCGCGGGCGCCGGGTGCATCCCACTGCTGGAGCTGCCCTGGCCACGGCCCTGCTCCCGGCGAAGGGCAGCGCGGGAGGACGTAGGAGCTGCGCGCGGAGCAGCCCCTGGCTCTTCGGCACCGCGTTTCTCGCTGTTTTTAGCCGCCGTGCCCGGGCAGGATTCATGGAGAAACGCTCCAAGTTGCACCGCACAGGTTAGTCGGGGGCTTCTCCTTCCTCCCATCTCCTCTTCCCCACTCCAGTTGAGTCTGTTGGTGCAGGAGTGAAGCACCGGGTGCTGATGGGGCTCGGGACAGCAGGACCAAGGGACAATTCCTCCTCCGGAGCTGCTGAACTGGTTCCCTGCAGCGCTGCCTGGGATGTTAGGGGAGCAAGGTGACTTTTATCTTGTTATTCCTTGTGCAAATGGCCCCTTCCTCCCATCTCCTCTTCCCCACTCCAGTTGAGTCTGTTGGTGCAGGAGTGAAGCACCGGGTGCTGATGGGGCTCGGGACAGCAGGACCAAGGGACAATTCCTCCTCCGGAGCTGCTGAACTGGTTCCCTGCAGCGCTGCCTGGGATGTTAGGGGAGCAAGGTGACTTTTATCTTGTTATTCCTTGTGCAAATGGCCCATGGGTCTCGTGCAGGATGCTGGAAAGCGTGACAAGCTCATACAAAGACATCGAACAGGGCAGTTTTGGGTAGCGTTGGAGGTAATTAATTCAGAGGTTCTAAATGCTATACGGTCATGAATTTAAGGCATGCTACTAAGGTAATCTTTGTGCCCCACGAAAGACCTATAGCATCAATCTTACAACCTGGAAAACTCTTTGTAGCACTGGATAATCTAATGAATCACAGAATATTCCTTATATTTAGCATATGATTAAACTTTGCAGGCTTTTTTAAGCTTCAGAAGGGCACAGGGAAAAGCATCTGCATGAAGAGGGTCTCACAAGGAGCCCTCCCGGCACACGGCGGCTCCTGCGCACTCTCCCCCTCTAATCGCTTCCGTCGCTGCTTTATCTTATCAAGCAAAAAGCCCCAGAAATAGAAAGTTTTCCAGGGCCGTCGGAGCAGGCGCAGGGATGCACAGCCCCAAGCTCTTGCCTTGTCATTCCAAAAAAAAACCCGATCCCCCCGGAGCGGCAGGCTGCGAATGGACAATGTCAGGGCGTTATCTCGGCAGGGAAAGGGCTCCCGCGGGAGCGGCGGGGATGCTCGCGGTGCCGGCGCGGAGCGGGGACCATGAGCGACGGCGGCGCCGAGGCGGCCGCTTGCCTGGGGCTCGTGGCCAGGAGGATCCGTAAAATCTTCGGGCATTTCCGCAGGGCTAAAGCG